GCGCAGGAGGGGAAGACCCTCTTTGAGGTGGATTGATTAAGTGACTGGGGTAATCAGGATGGGTGTGTCAGAGGCAATGCGATTGGCACAGGATACAGCAGGGTTTAGGGCTGTTGTACACAGAGTTGCTATGAGTCGCAAATGACTCAACGGCACATAACAACAATGCTAAAGAAATTTCCAGTCTTCTGGCATTCTTTCTGATCTTCCATTGATGCCATTCCACAACTCATTTGATCTTTAATCACTAGTGATCAGGACCTCAGACCTTTTCTTCAGATAAATTTTAAATTTGGGTGAGATAGACCAAGGTTGTATTTTGAATTTTGTAAATTTGTTTTCATTTTCTCTAACTTCAGTTTGAACTTGGACATGAATAATCGATGGTCTGTTTCAGAATTAGCCCCTGGCCTGGTTTTGACTGTTTAAAATGAGCTTCTTCAATAATTCTTTCCACAAAAATAGTCATTCTGATTCCTATGCAGTCCCAGGTGAAGGCCATTTGAATAAGTATTGTCTGGTTTTTTTTGTTTGTTTGTTTGTTTTTCTATAATTATATTTTATTAATTTTCATAAACATTTACGGAGATTTTGGGTTTCCATTCATTCATTGTTGCACTATTCTCTCTACCCTCCTCCCAGTTTGTTCTTGTCCAAATGCCACAGTGCTTGTCAAAGCCAGTTCTGATTAATCTCCTTTGTCAGTGTGTCCTTTGCCATTCCCTATCACTCCTCCCTGAGAGAGACTTCACTCTGAGTCATAAGGGAAAAGGGGATGGCGTATTCTCTTAGCTACTTCCTGCTGAAAAGGGACGCTGTGGGTTTCAGGGTGAAGGTCTTCTCTCACTACTCTAAAGGGCCCCTTTGGCGGTAGGAAACACATAGACTATTATGGAGATTGATTTTGGAATTTAGATGCACTCTTATTGATTGTGCTTGGCCGTACATGTTCATATCCTTGAAGATGTATCATGGGGGTGTTGCAACCTAGAAGACACAAATTTGACTAACAAGTTATAAGTACATGAGTCAAAAATTATGGAAAAGTAAAAGAAAAGATTCTTTCATTGTTTTACAAACCCTCCCCCAGGTCCCCTCCACCATGTAGCCCTCGCTCTAGTCTCCTGTGATGACAGAAATACCTAGTTATATATCTCTTTTAAACAGTTTTCTCCCTCCTCTGTTTCAGTGCAGTATACATTATTGAACCCATCTTACTCAGTCTCTCCCCAACCCCAAGGACAGTCCCATTCTACAACAGTGGCATCATGTAATATTTGTCCTTTTGTGACTGGGATATTTCACTCAGCATAATGTTCTCCAGAGTCAACCATTTTGAATAATATTGCATGAGTTCCTTATTTTTTAATGCAGCATAGTATTCCATTGTGCGAATATACCACAGCTTCTCTAGCCATTCGTTTGTTGATGGGCACTTAGGTTGTTTCCAACTCCTTGCTATTGTGAACAAAGCTGCAATAAACATGGGTGTGCATATATCTGCTTGGATGTCAGCTATGGTCTCTTCAGGGTATATTCCCAGTAGTGGAATTGCTGGGTCTGTTTTTAAAACAAGATACTTACAATGACTAAATCTTTGGATGTACAAAATTCAGTTGTTTATTCGCAGGGCCCATATCTATCTTCAAGTCCATAATTTCTAACTACCATTCCTTCTACTTTGTTTCCAACTTTTGCATTCTAATCACTAATTATTATTATTATTATTATTAATACTTCTTGACTGCATGTTTGGTCATATTCAGACTGCAAAACTTGACAGTTCTTCCTCTTTGTCTTTTAGCTAATGGTGCATATATTAGAGTAACTGGTACAGGTCTTTCTTATATACATATGGATTGTATCCTATCATTCACAGCAATGCACTTCATAATATGTGTTTTGCTCCCTGTTTTTAAATTGGTTTGCATATAATCATTCAGAGATATCATGGTTCGTATATGCACTTTGTGTTTTAGACAATCATTCATATGTTGTTCTATACTGTCAAGTCGACTCTGACTTACAGCTACCCTATGTACAACTGCCTGAACCCTGCTCTATCTTGAGCCAATTTCATTGTCACTGACATACCTACCCCCATTACTCTAGTCACTGAGTCAATCCATCTCATCCAGTGTCTTCCTCTCTTGCACGGTCCCTTCACACTTCCAAGCATGATGTCATTCTCCAAGGACTGGTCCCTCCTGGCAACATGCCCAGAGTATGTGAGACAAAGCTTCAAAATCCTCACCTTCAAGGAGCAGCCTGGTTTCACCCTCTCTAGGACAGACCTGTTTGTTCTCTTGGCAGTCCTTGGTATATTCAACACTCTTCTCCAGCACCACAATTCAGAGGCATTTATTATTCTTCTGTCATCTTTAGCCATTGTCCAGCTCTCTGATGCACAGCAAGTAATTGTGAAGATCATGGCCTAGATCGGGCACACCTTGCTCTTCATTATCATTGCTCTTCAGTATTCTAGAGAGGTCCCTTACAGCAGATTTTCCCAGTGCAATTAGTCTTTTGATTTCTTGCCTGCTGGTATCAAGAGTGTTGATTGCGGAGTCCAGCAAGCTGAAGCTGTTAATAATCTCAGTCTGTTCTCCATCTATCATGTTGATGCCATTTGGCCCAATGGTGAGAATCTTTGTCTTCTTGATATTGAGCCTCAATCGATATTGACGGCTGCAATCCTTAAACATCTGCAGCAAATGCTTCAGGTCCTCCTCAGTTTGGACAGGCAGAATTATGTCATTTACATAACGCAGAGTGTTCATGACTCTTCCTCCAATCCTGATGCAACATTCCTCTTCATAGAGCCCAACCTCCTTAATGATCTGTTTGACATATCGATTGAAGAAGTACGGAGATAGACTGTATCCCTGGTATACACCTTTTCTAATTTTGAACCTATCATTCATATATTTTATATGATTCATTACCATCGCTCTGCGCCTGTTATCAAGCCCCAGTGAACCTTTTCCATTATTTTACCTCTCACTGCCTTCTGCTGTCCCAGTGATTCCCCCCCCTTTTGCTGCTCCCCTTCTTTCCTTTCCCTTCTGAACATTTATACATACCTCACTCTATTATCTCCCTATTTTCACAATAGTGGCCTTTTATTATATTTGCCCTTATGTGACTCATCAGAATGCTCTCTAGTCCCTCCCAAGTTATATAGTATTTTATGAAATCATTGTTCCTAGTATTCCATCATGTGAATGTTCCAGTTTCTCAATCCATTTGTTTAATAGGCATTTGAGCTGCTTCCATTTTCTTGCTGTTATGAATAATGGTGCTGTGACCATAGGTGTACAAATGCCCATTTGTGTCTCAGTTCTGAATTCCTTGGGTTATACTCCAAGCAGTGAATAGCTGAGTCATACAGGATTTCTATGTTCAGCTTTTTGAGAAAATGCCAAACTGCCTTCCATAGTAGTTATAGCATTTTACAATCCCACCAGCAGTGCGTAAGGGTTCCAGTCTTTCAACATCTTCTCCAACATTAATTGTTTGCTCTTTTGGTGAACTCCACTACTGCTGCTGGAGTGAGGTAGTAACTCATTGTTTTCATTATGTATCTTGAAATACTCTTTTTAAACTATGAATGTATCACCATTCTTCTTCAGGTTTTCATTCCTGGCATAGTAGCTCACATGATTATCTAATTCAGAGTGGCCAATTCTAGCCTATTTCAGCTAATTCCCAAACCATCTATCTTCATGCATTTCATTTCATTTCATTTTTGACAACTTCTAGTTTTCCTATATTCATACTTCATACATTCTATGGTCTAATTATTAGTGGATATTTATATCTGTTTCTCCTCATTTTTTGGTGATGTCTCACCTGGGCTGTACCTACTTATTGCTTCTTCTAGGGTTTCAAAGGCCTGTTGCTTTGGAAGTAGATGGCCAGTCCCAGTTCTTAGTCTATCTTACTGGGAGTTCTGCTAAACCTGTCCACCATGAGTGACCCTGTGGGCATATAACACAATGGTATTACAGCTTCAAACATTGTAGTGACTTTAGTACAGCAGCTGACAGACAAGTGCTGGTCTGACAAGAGCAAATACTAAACAAACAAGCATTTATAGACCTAAGTTGTAAAATAGTTATCAACATGCCAAACAGTCCTTCAGCTCAGCAGATTTACAGATTTTTGTACCTTTGGCAGCAGATGACACTTGCACAACATTTCTCAAGTTTAATGAACTTAACATCAATTTCAAGCCTCAAATTGCAATACTGAGAGTTGCTATGAGCAAAATCTTCAGTGATCCAGAAAACATCAAAAGAAAATGGAGGGAATACAGAGTCACTGTCCTAAAATGAACTGGTCAACACTGAAATATTTCAGGAAGTACCTTCTGATCAAGAGCCAGTGAAGATGAAGAAAGACATTTAGGCTACACTGAAAGCATTTTGTAAAAAAATAAGGTCTCAGGAATCAGTAGAATACCATTTGACACTTTTCTTTTTTGTTTTTCATTTCTTTAATACTTTTTTAGTTGTGATGTTAGTGAACGTTTACAGAAAGAGAGGGTTTTTATTCATTCATTTATATACATTTTACTCCATCTCCCCCACTCCCAATTAATTTTGTAATGCATATCTTGTTGGTTGACATTTTTCAACTAACAGGTGCAGCCCTGGATGTGTTCACCATCTGTGCCAGGAAATTAGGAAGTTGGCTATCTGTCCAACTGACTGGAAAAGATCTATATTTATTTCTGTTCCCAAGAAAAAGTGATTCAAAAGAATGTGGTAATCATCTTTAAAATGTCATTAGTATCACATGTAAGCAAAATATTGCTGAAGATCATCCAGAAATTACCAGAACAGTACATTCACAGAGAACTACCGGAAGTCCAAATGAGATTTAGAAGAGGTTATGGCACCAGGGATATATCACTGCTAATGTCAGATGGATTTTGGTTGAAGCCAGAGAATTCTAGAAGAATGTGTATCTGTGTTTTATTGACTATAGAAATGCATTTGACTTTGTGGATCACAACAAACTATGGCCAACATTGAGAAGAATAGTGATTCCAGAACACTTAATTATGCTTTTACAAGGTCTATATTTAGACCAAGAGGCTATTGTCTGGACTGGTTTAAAATTAAAAAAAGTGTGCCATCAGGACTGTATCCTTTCTCTGTACCTATTCAATCTGTGTGCTAAGCAAATCATTTGAGAAGCTGGACTTTAAGAAGAACAAGGAATCTGTTTTTGAGGAAAACTCATCAGCAACCTGCATTATGCAGATGATGCCATCTTTTAGGCTGAACCTGAGGAAGACTTCAGGTTCTTCCTGCAGATGATCCAGGACCACAGACTCCAAGGTGGATTATATCTTAACAGCAAGAAAACAACAGCTTCACCAATGGACCAATAGGCAACATCACAATAAATGGAGAAAAAATAGAAGTTGATAACAATTTCATCTTACTTAGATCCCTTGTTGAGGCCCTTGTAACAGCAGTCATGAGATCAAAAGATATATTGCATTGAGGAATTCTGCTGTCAAGGACCTCTCCTTCCCCTGAAGAGCAAGACTAAGATGTGTTTGTTCAAGCCTTAGTCTCTCCAGTCACCTGCTATGCATCTGAGAGCACAGCAGTGAATAAAAATGACAGTAGAAGAATTGATGCCATTGTGTTGTGATGAAGAGCACAGAATATCCTGTGGACTGCCAAAGGAACAAACAGTTACGACTTGGAGATAGTGCAACCAGAATGTTCCTGGGGGACAAGGATAGTGAAGCTTCGTCTCACATTCCTTGGAAGACGACATCATGCCTGTAAGGGTGGAGGGTTAGCAAAGGTGAGGAAGACCTTCAGTGAGATGGATTGACAAAGTGACTATTACAGCAGTGGGTGTGAATGTGTCAGAGAAGGTGAGGCTGGCACAGGGTAAGAAAGGATTCAGTTCTGTTGCTCATAGGGTCACTGTGATATGTATTGAATTTGACAACACACAGCAATGACAGTATATGGTTCTGAACTACCAGCTGTTTCGTGCAAGTCATGTTGACAGTTTCCTATCATTAAGATTTACAGCCTCTGTAACAGTGGAGGCTTGTTATGTTAGGACAGACTGGACAACAGTGGAATTTGTGGTTTGGGTTTAACTGTGAAACTGGGTAATTTTGAGACTACTGATTGTCAAGGATATGAATGAGCATCACCTTTGAACAACATGCTTGAATTCTCCTCAAGCCTGAGACCTTTGAGAAAACAGACTGCTGAAGACTGAGTGGACACTGGGCTAGACCTAGAATAGATTTCCTTCTTTCTCATGGCTTCTTTGTCACACTTCTCCAGGCTGAATACAACAGTGATGTTCATCAGTTCTTTGAGTTTCTGTACAACCAGGGGATTGGGACCCTGTCATCCCATCTGTACATTGCCTGGGCTGGGCATCTGGAAAGTCAGGGAGCATTGCAACATGCCAGTGCAGTTCTGCGAAGAGGATTTCAAAACCAGGCTGAGCCCCAAGAGCTGCTGCAGCAGCACTTCAGGTAGTTCACAGGGAAACTCTGTGTGATGTTTCCTGCTTTCAGACGTTATTCTCTGTTTCAGCGAAATTCTTCCTGTCATTTTTTTTAATAGGAGAATGTTCTTCTCTTTGAAAAATGGCTAATATAGAATGGTATAAAGAGAAACTGCCCAGAAATATTAATATTTTCTTTCTAGTATATTTTTCTAGACCTGTTGTGTCTTTGTGCTTATATTTTATAACACTAATAATCCATATGTGTAGTTCTACATAGTAAATTAAGTAGTTTTATGTATTTCTCTTTTAAAAAAGAGCTTTTTAGGGGAGCTCTGGTGGCCTAGTGGCAAGGAACTGCAACTACAATCCCAGAGGCGCACAGTTCGAATCTACCAGATGCTCTGCTGGGGAAGGAGGGACAATCTCCTCCTGTACCAGTCAGATCTGATTTGACGGTACACGCACACAAAAATAATAATAATAATAATAATAAAGGGAGCTTTTTTAGTCTTTAGAAACTGGTTATGAAATCTGTGAGCATTATGTTATAATTAAGCATAACCAGAACATTTCCATTTTCCCAACATTTCAATTTTTATGAAGAACAGCGTGAGGAATAACTTGAACTTCCTCTCCCACAACTTTTCATTTTTTTCAGTAATTAAATATATCTCATTTAGAAAATTTTGGAAATATAGGAACCTAAAGGAGGAGAAAAAAGCTTTTGACATTTCATGTGGTATTTTTCCTCTGCTTATTATAGGATTGACTGCAAGAATGCTTTACATACTGTGGAGGATTTGTATCAATGTGGTGGTGGGATTTTTTCCCATAAAAGTGTTTTGTAATTTCATTTTTATCTAGTTTCTGCTGGTAAGTTCTTAAAATTGAAACTATAAGTCAAAGGTTGTGTAAAGAGTTTTAAGGCTTTCGGTACATTTGGCTAAACTACTTCTCAAGGTACTGTGTCCATTAACATTGTCAAAAGATTGTATTTTACGGAACTTTCTTGCTGTTTTTGCACCTACCTAATTAACAATTTTCAGTCAGTACTGAAATTTACCTTAATAGGGGGCAGGTTTTGAACTGTTAGATTGTCTGAAGAATAAGGTCCACAGATTACATTTGGTTGTAATCTTTTACTCATTCTTAGTCTTTTAATCTCTTTCTCACATTGTAATAATAGGCTTGCAAATTGCACTTTATTCAAGTGTAGGTGAGGTGTAGTGATGGCTTGGAATGACCTGTTTGAGATCTTTTCACAGAACATTAATATGACTCTGCTTTTTGAAGAGTAGTCTAACATTTTATACTTCTGTATATACCAAATATTTGTTATGATCCTGATGTATAAAATCCGAATGCACTGTCGTTGAGCCAACTGTGACTCCTAGTGAGTGTACAGAACAGTATAAGACTATGGCATAAGGATCCAAACTGGGACATCTTTGTGAAAGCAGACTACCCACTTTATGGAGTGGCTAGAGTGATTAGGGGATTTGAACCACTGACCTTTCTGTTACCAGCTGAGTGCTTTAACTATTGTGCCACAGGCTCCTAATAATCAGATGTATAAAATGATTAAACGTAAGATCTCAAATACTTTGCATTGTAATGTTTATAGGCTTGATCTGCAGAGAAAGGAGGATAATTTTGTTGTATGATATCCAGAAATACTGACAAAAACAGGTAAAATGAAGGCTTTAAAAAAAATAGAAATGCATTAGAAGAGATTCAGTTACTATAATATTGAAACAGCTCTGTGCTCAACTTGAAATTCTCTCTTGACTTCAGTTCCAATATAGTGCAGATATAAATTTAACTGTACCTTTACTATTTATATTGATGCCTTTCTTACTGTCCTTTAGGTTATTTCAGGAAGGCCTTGCTGAAACTAATTTGCCAACTCAAGGTAATATAATGTTTTCCAAAGCATGTGAATTGTTGATAATTTAGTTTCCCACGTACACTCCTTTTTAAAATTTCTTTAAAAAAAAAAATCAGTACAGTGCCTATTTAGCACTGAGTTCTATTGTTTTCAGTAGTGAGGAAGGTACTCTAATAGTGATACCACAAACCCTGGGGACCTGTGGCTCTGCCTTGGTACTTTATAAAATCAGGTGAAATTTTGTACCTTTAAATGGAAAAATCACAATTGAGGATAATTTATACTTTGGAATGCTTGTATTTGGAACAGAATCAGTGTTTTTACTACAACTTTTAAGAAACACTTTTCAGGCCAATCATGTTTAAAAAACTGGTCAAGTTGACATTTCCTTTGGGTCGTTCCTTAGACATTTTGAGATGATCTGAAAAGTGTCCCTGTAATACTTGTCTTTTTTTTTTTTTCAAGTTTGAAACATTTTGAAGTTTATTTATTTCTTGCTACTTATTTGAAGATTAGGAGAAGTGTATGACATGACAATTTTTATTAACATGGTTAACATTTTTCTCCTTATTTCATCCTGTTTTCTACATAGCTAGAACCACAGAGCCTCTGTATAATGCTCAGATTTTAAATTCAATGAAAACATCAAACCCAGATCCAAGAAGTGACTTGGACTGTGTTCCAAACAGTCAGGTAATGATGATATTTTGGGTTGATGTTGAATTGTCATTCTTCTTGTTTCTACATCCACTTTGCCGTCCACTTTCTTTGACCTTTTCTACCACGACTCATCCCCCACATATTCTAGGTCCTACAGTGACACAGTTACACTTACCTTGTCTTTAAGTTTAAATAAACCATTGATTGACAGCATTTCCTTGCCTTTGCTGACTTACGAACCCCATTCTACAACCTCCTGTCTTCATTTCTCCCCTAGCAGCTTCTCTCCTACCAAGATCCTCTCCTGCTGAGTTTTTGCTGGCTAAGAAACCTCACCCACATGGAGACTTCTATGTCTTATTTAAAAGACTGAGCTTGAAACACTGGAGCTTATAACTTCAACCAGAATTTTATGACTCCTAGGCAATTCTCTTAATTTACCCATTTGACTCTTTAAGGCAAAATCACAGAGATGATTAACTTTTCTCATCCTCCTCAAACTTCACGCTGGCCTTTCTCTAACCTTATACCACAGACAGAAGCTGTCAGAGACACTATTTCAGGGAAACCACAGAACCCCTTAGAAAGCACCTGTTAGCTTTCTATCACCAACCAATAAATGGAGCTGTACCTTCCCTGACATTGCAGAGGGGTCAAAGAGTAGTCCTGAATCTGGACTTCTCTTTCAGTCTCATCATACAGTCTCATCACACATTTCTGCCCTTAGTGAGATCTCCTGTGACCTGATGGTCATCAATGTGTAAAAATGCTCCAGGTGCTCTAAGTTTAAAAGAAGAAAAAGTAGTTCCCTCAATCCTGTGTTTCTCAACATCTTCCCTCTCCATGGTACAACTGTTTTTTTCAGATGCACCAACGACCTCCTTTAATTATGGCGGAAATGCTCCTGTTTCCTGTGAACATGTGCAAGTTCTGCTAGAACATGCTCCTAGAAGCAGAACATGTCTAGCTTTGGTGGAGACTACAAAGTACCCTTTAAAGTCTCCTGATACCACTCCACCTTCAGCTGGTACCATACTAACACTCATTTATTAAATAGTTACTAAATACTTCATGTCATTCCCTGAGTTAGGTCATGAAAATATGTATGAATGATCTATATGAACGGTCCACCTCTGCTATCTAAACTTAGATGGTTGGGATGTAGGAAGTGTATGTAAAGTATAGGTTGGGCTAGACTTTTTAAAGGTTTGAAGATTATTCTTTTGGAATCCACAAAGTATAGAGCCCATCAGAATTTGCAATATAGTTCAAGATATTTTTAATCACATCATCATCAGGATTCTTTTACATCATCTTTGATCAAAATTATCAGTAATTTTAGCTGGGGACTATCCAAGTCTTCTGGTATCATGACAATGAAGGGCATTTTCATGAAGGCAGTTAGATTTGCATTCCTTTTACTTTGCTGCTCCAAGCAGATAGAGATTAGTTTGGCATACCTTGGAATATCAATCATAGCTTAAAAGACATGTGTTTAAAAAAAAAAAAGTTGACATAACAATTCTCCCCGCCCCCATGTGCTTTTGTACTCATGATGTAGAATTGGGAGGAAGTTTGTGGTCTCTTCTTGGATGAGAGCTCATATTGGGTGTTCGTTCTTTTAGTGTTCTGAACTTTCTGGAGTGGCATCTTCAACGCATGAGAAAGAACCAAATCGGCAAGTATAATCGGTGCATTAATCTATCAGTTTATATTCAAGAGCTTTTCATATACACTATTGTAAATATATATTTTTGCTCTTTTTAGGGAACAAAGGGTGATCTTGATTTCTAAATCAGAATATTCTGTGCACCCATCTTTGGGTGCCAAAAGTGATATTAAACAAGTTGCCATGTATTGTAAGGAGAAGCTGATTCATGAAGACTCTGAATTTTCCTTTGAAGAACTAAGAGCACAGAGATACAGTCAACGAAGGAAACATGAACAATGGGGTACTTGTCATCTGACAGTTTACGTTTGCTAATGCAGTTTAAGATAATCCTCATTTCTTAATAGTGATTTTTGTTCGATAGTTCTGTGCACTAAAAGAATTTGTGAAATTAGCTCATTCTATTGGAAACCTAGGAATGTGCTTAGTATTAGACTCACAGCCATATTTGTACAAGATCTAAACTGATGTTTTGACAGCAGAGCTCAAAATTTAGAATTTCACAGATGTAGATATTCACAGAAATGTTGTCTTCTCTTTTTTTGAAATAAGAGATTTTAAAATTTGCAACTAGATTTTATCTTTGTGCTTTTGAACTAATAATGTGTGCATGTGATTACAACCTTTTTTTATTCTATAAAGGATTAGGAGTGGAACTGGGGTTTGAAAAAGCTTTTTCAAAATCTCAAGTTTGCAGATAACATATTCAGTAAGAGTCCCTTGATGAAAGTGCCATGTCAATCAGATGTCTTAAGAGAAATCTTCACACTTGGATTTATCAAGGGAGCTCTTGTTGCATATTCTGTGTGCGGTTGTACTGCTAACCCAAAATTGGTGCTTATCGCTTGTTCAAATTCAGCAACTGCTCCTTGGGAGAAAAATGAGCAATTCTCCTGTGCAATTTATAGCCTTTCAGACCAGCCCCAAGTCACTTCCAAATAGATGACAATGAGGTAGTTTTTTGGTTTGGGGTTTTTTTGATTTTGTTTTTATTGCTATCATAGCATAAACCATAGAGACTACAAAATAAAACTTTATTCCACTCAAGACTTTCATATAATCTATTAAGGCTGTTTGATTATTACAACTCTTTAGGCCTTTTGTTTGCTTGCTTGTTCTGTATTACCCTTTTTAAGTCCACAACTAAGACCAGCTAATTAATACTCATGGCAGGTCCACTTTCTGCTGAGTACAGATTTTATTCAGTTTCACACCCTTGACTTATAAAATAGACCACACTATCTGACCTGTATGTGAGATGTTAACCTTACTGGCAGTTGGGCCTCACTGAAATATTTTAAAATACTGACCTTAGTAGATATTTTACTTCTTAGAAAGTACCTAGATATCTTTTTGTCATTGAAAACTGTTCCATTTTCAAATAATCTTAAGAGTAATGTTTATTTTTCCAGCAGTGTTTAGTTTTATGTTATAAAGCATGTTATTTATTTTTTTTATTGCTAATTTTACAATTTTTTTTGTCCAGGATTTTTTTTTTATTATTATTTTATTAGTTTTAATGAACATTTACAGGGATTTTGGGTTTTCATTCCTTCATTGCTGCACCATTCTCTCTACCCTCCGCCCCAGTTCGTTCTTCTTCCCCCGCCATTCTAATGTCTGTTTTAATTGTCCAATTGCCACAGTGCTTGTCAAAGTCAGTTCTGATTAATCTCCTTTGTCAGT